CCCGCGTGGCAGGCGAGCATTCTACCACTGAACCACCGATGGTTATAAGAAATGGCCATATTTGGGTATTTATTCCATTCACAAAAGCAAACAGTGACAGAATTGATTGATTGTTAATTATTACTCTGATACTTGTATATTTTAATAATAATCAAAAACGGCTTCCAAGGATAGTTTTTTTGCTTTATTTATATATTCTCTCAAGTTTTCGGCAATCATAAACCCCTCTACAGGAGTAGATGATAGGTCATATCCTCAGCAACTGTTTTTTTTAAATTATTATTGTTATTTGCATTTCAGTGAGTGTTCATCTTTCGAATATACCTATCTCATGAAATATGCCTTAATGAAGTTTCCTACATTTTAGGCACAGAGATTAGGAAGACTATATCTCTGCTTACCTATACGTGCAGAAGGCTTTGAAGAAAAGGTGACAATAAACTGGAAATATCAACTTAACACACTATTTAATATATTCTCACAACTTAAGATGTAGATGGTTTTTGTTTAGTGGTTTCCATTGTACTGTAGAATAAACCAGAACGAGTTCGCATTAAAAAGCTAACGCTTTATTTTGGTAAGGTTACAAAAAGAATGAAGAACGCCGTGGCTTCACTATGTTAACAAAGAAAAAAACAAATCAACTTTGATTTGTTTAATAAGTTAAATTATTAATGAAAATATTTACATGAGTCGGCTGTGACAATGTTAAAGACAAAATTACAAAGTATTTTCATTTTTTTAAATCAGCAATGTGTTTCTAGAGAGGGTAAATTTCCAAGCACACAATCTTCAGCAGGCCTTATCTATAATCGTAAGGCAGAAATTGTTTCTGTCAGACACTTCTTCGCTAAATGACTAACGGTTAGCCCGTTGAAGAGTGTATGCTCTGAAATTAACCCTCTCGTCCCACACTGTACTATGATAGTCATAGAAACCGGTACAGGGATGTAGGTTTGAAACCGTTAGCAATTCTAGCACCTAATTCTGTCAAGGAGTTGATTGATGGTGTTATTTCAAGTAGCTTCAATTAGCATCTTGGCCAGTCCTTCTTTTTCCTGTTTCATTTAACAACGCTGAGATAAGAACGGCTAGAGTTGTAGTGAAATAATAGAGACAGATTCTATATGTTGTAGCATCAAATTTGAAGAATCTGAAAAGGCATTTTAGAAATCTAGACTGTACGTCTATAGTTGTGAAACCATTAATATCTACATTTCAGAGAATTTTATCTTTCTAACATGCATGTAAGGAGTCATAGTCATCATTTCGGCCTGAGGAGATGAAAAATCAATCAAATAATGGACGAATTTGTACATTTTTTGGTTGAAAGTGATGATAATAATATAGAAATTGTTTTAAATCATCACTACTAGTACAGTAGAACTACCTCCCTGTAAAGGACAACACCTAATTACAGAGCCAAACTGTCCTTTATGGAGAGGTGTCCTCTTACCGTAGAGTTGCTAAATACAGTAGAACTACCTATCTGTAAAGGACAACACCTAATTGCAGAGCCAAACTGTCCTTTATGGAGAGGTGTCCTCTTACCAGAGAGTTGCTAAATACAGTAGAACTACCTATCTGTAAAGGACAACACCTAATTGCAGAGCCAAACTGTCCTTTATGGAGAGGTGTCCTCTTACCAGAGAGTTGCTAAATACAGTAGAACTACCTATCTGTAAAGGACAACACCTAATTGCAGAGCCAAACTGTCCTTTATGGAGAGGTGTCCTCTTACCAGAGAGTTGCTAAATACAGTAGAACTACCTATCTGTAAAGGACAACACCTAGTTACCGCCCCAAAATGTCCTTATGGAAGAGGTGTCATCTTACCAGAGAGTTGCTATATAGTAAAAATGGTAATTGTTCAAATGAAAACTGTCCTTTATAGAGAGGTGTCCTCTATCGCGAGTGTCTTCTCATGGAGGTTCTACTGTACTAATTAAAAAATCTATATATATTGCAATATATTTGTAAACACTATTTATTGTTCAAACATCCACTTGTGCAGAACCCAGACGAAGACGGGTGATATCGCTAGTTTCCAAATAAAAGAGCCAAGCCATCAAAATAGGATTTAAAACCGAGATAGATATTTCTCCAGAAAAAAATTCCATCAGAAATAATTGCCTTAAATGTAATCCATCTCAACATTATCTTAAGATAAGAAGGGATATGTGTAAGTATGGTTGTAACTTATATCTAGAAATTTAAAGGCATCCATAAATTGTTTCCAATGTGCTGCAATTCCCTTGTCCTCCCTCCATCTCGATAAAAAGTCGGTAAAAAACACGGTATCCATACTGTCAATCTATATGCATCTATCGTTCCAAGTCTTTACCGTTCAACATTCCTCTGTCAAAAAAAACTGTTTTTCGTATTTAAATCAATCTTCACTGTAATACACTATGTAAAAAAATAGTACAAATGTGATATTGTACTGGGATAAGGTGCATAAATTAAGAAAAAGGCATCTCCTGATAAGGGCCAACAGCCCGAAACGCGTCCGTAGTTAGCTTTTCTTGATTAATCAAGAATGGGTATTTGGCCAATTATGAAATAATTAAAAATCAATGAGAATAGTTGATATTTATTCCGATAGATGGCGCAAGCCATCAGCGACTTTCAGTTACACGATAAGGAGATGTCTTTTTTTAATGTAATACACTAATTATTACAATTATGATAATATTTATACTTTGTGAAAAGTACGGGAAGCTGATAATATAAATAAAGATTCTTTTCTGCTTTTACATTTTGATTTAATTAATAAAGAATCAAAGGTTTCTTTTCTCATTTCTTTCATTTCTCTAGCTTTCTGGCTAACATTTGCTCTTCAACACGGAGACAATTTGACAATTATCTTTATTGACATTTAGTCAACAATAACAACAAAAAGCCTTTATTTAGGGTCACTGACCCCATACAGGATTCACCAGAGGTATGCATAAGAACAAAGCAGTGAGACAAAGGAAACAACGATATAGACAGAAGAAAAAGAAGAAAAAAAAAACAAGAAAGAGGGAAGCAAGAAAAACAACACAAAAAGAGTAGCAGTAAGAAAGTGAGGAGTGAGTGTCACTTGGCCTTCTTCTGAGATATGACATTTAGTCAACAATAATAACAACAACTCTTAAAAACATCAAAATTGAATTTGGATATATTGTTGCACCAAGTTGCAGCTTTGCAGGGTCATCGACCTTGGGTTCTTCCTTCTTGGTGTTATACACCGAGCGGGTTTCCATACTCAAAGCAAATAAATAAAAGTAAATAAAAATAAATTACATTTTAAAGGGTTTGCGTTTATTTATTCGTTGTCTTCCTCGTAGGTCGTGATCCGTAGTCTTGGTCTAAGTCCTCTCTCGCTCCAATAACCAATCAAGATATATGTACAATAAAATATTACAAAAGGAATGATGATATTCTAAATAATCTGTTTTAAAAAAATATTAAATATCATAGAATATTTTGAATAAATGTAGGGCGTATTGATGCAACAATATATAGCAGACTGATCCCTTGCTGAAGAGACGTCTGGACTTCTTCAGTTTCACAAGCCGTTCTGACAGCTTCTGTCTTATATAGTGGTCCCCAACACTCGCTTCAACACGGAGATCCATGAGGGCATGTTGTACTTCTGTATCTCTGTGTTGAAGAGCATGTTAACTCGAAAGCTATATAAATAAAAGAAATGAGAAACCAATCCCTTGATTCCTTATTTATTGTAACAAAGATATTATAAATGCCCTTTGTCGTGAGAACATAACCTCACAAAAACTCCAGTAAAAGGACACCTCTCCCTAAAGGACACTTTGGCTCTGCAATTAGGTGTTGCCCTTTACAGGGAGTTAGTTCTACTGTACTCCTTTTCCCAAGGAACGTATTACAGAACGTATCTATGGTAGGAAAAGAGATTGAAAAAAGAGAAAAAATTTCAAAAAGCATAATAGGTGCTAGTGTATGGTGTATGTAAGAAGTTATTTATCATAAAACCATGATCCTAAGCCAGAATAAATCTCTATTAAGAAGACACAAAGCATCAAAGCTGTATTTAAGAAGACATTTTGCCAACAATGGATCAAACCCAGGACAGATCAATGCTGCTCGTAAACTACCAGCAACGTCAATATTGCCTGTAGCAGGCAGGCAGGCAAACATGGACGACAAATGTTGTTATCGATACCCGCCATTTTGGAATGGTAACTTAGTCACTCCCGCTATTGTCCATACACTTTGTCAAATTATTTGACAAACATAAGCAGTTTTATACTTCTCAGTTATACTGTAAGAATCTTGTTTATTTGTTAAGTGATCTCCCACGTCATTGGACCAATGTGGCCATGTTTGTACAATAAAAGAGGGTTGAAACGGAATGCGAGGAGTCGTGGAGTGGTGATTGTGTGGAGACGTTTAAAGCGTTCTCTGTGTGCTTGTCTGGTGATCTCCTCGCATACCTGTGTAACCCCGGTCCTCTCCTTATTAACGCTGCAAATAAAAGATAAATACTGTTTTTTATTTTATTTAACAAATCGTAAGTTTTTTATTTATTTATATCCTTTTTGTTGTTGGTGTTGTACTCTTAAGTGTACGTTTTTCTGTGTATTAAGTTATCTCACGGAAGGCCCTAGTTTATTGATTTTTGTGTGATAATCCGTAAAAGTAACTTTTGTCAACTTAAGATTGTTGCCTTAATGATCTCAAATCTCTGTTTGCTGATTCCATTACATTTGTCTTTAATGCTTTACCTAACGGGGGAGTTATTCTGTAACAAAGCTTATTATTTTCCTATCGCATAGACCATGCTATATTCAAAACAAATTCAAAAATTTAAAAACAATCAGAATCAATTCAAACCTTTTTGAAATTCAGTCTTAAATATCATTTACTGCAATATTTGTAATTGAAATTGTGAAAAAAGAACACCATTCTTTCACCAATTAAAAAAAGTATCCGTAAACGAATGAAAGAAAAACAATTTAAGATGATTCTTTAGATATGTCCAGGGTAGCCTAGTGGACATGGCATCTGCCCGGTAAGCGGAACACTGTGGGTTCGATTCCCATCACTGGACACTTTTATTTTTCCGTTTATCATTACTCTTCACAATTCACCCTTTCATACCTCATCAGTTAGAAATAATCGTTATTTCTCCTTGAAATAAATTTTGATTTTTCGTTGAAGGGAAACACATGCGGGATAGTATTTCAAATGTCGTTTTAAGATGATTCTGTTGACTTAGAATTTTTAATGAAACTGATTCCAAGAATTTCAATTAAACATTATTCGAAAAAGAAAGAAGAAATAATATTAAGGTAAAGGGTTTCTTTTAATTTTGATTTTCGCAAGTTTTCGAGCAAAATTTCTGTTCTTCAACGGGCATATACTTCTATGTACAATATCAAGATGAACTTTGCCCGTTGAAGAGCAGAAATTTTGCTCGAAAACTTGCGAAAATCAAAATTAAAAGAAACCCTTTACCTTAATATTGTTTATTCTTTCTTTTTAGAATAATTTCTTGGTAACTGTTACTCACACACACATACAATTAAACATTATATTTATTGATTTACAAGAGAAAGAATAAAATAGATAAGGGAGACTTATATTATAAACAAAGGAACTTTTTTTTTCGGTTAGCGCCTATTAACTGGTGATCTTAAACACATACTCTGTGGATATAATTAGTCAAAATTAAAATATATATACAACAGATTCTAACAGAAACTAACTCAATAGAAATCAACAAACAGCTTTAGCAAGACTAAGAAGTGGTCATATAAAAACCTTAAAATTTCAAAATGGACAAAAAATCTTCAATAACTGCTTGAAATGCAATAGTGCGGAAGCTTCTCCGGAACATATCATGCTCAGAACTGACAATAGAGGACCTATTTTCCAGGCCTATAACTACCATTGCAAAATTGGAGAGGAGTGGACTTCAGGAATTGGTGAAAAAAAAAACCTTCAATAACTGCTTGAAATGTAAAAGTGCAGAAGCTTCTCCGGAACATATCTTGTTCAGAATAGACAATAGAGGACCTATTTTCCAGGCCTATAACTACCATTGCAAAATTGGAGAGGAGTGAACTTCAGGAATTGGTTTAACCATAGAGATAAGCACCACCACTTTTTAAAAATTGTGTTTTGAATTAGTTCAAAACATCTATTCTCACGCAAAATAATCATTACTAACACAAACTATCTACCTTTATCAACAATTGCGATGTCTACAAAGTGTTTGTTTGTACTATCAGTAAATTAAACACAACAAATGACATAACTGAAAGAATGCTGAAGGAAAAAGAGTCGAAGAGAAACTGCCAATCGTGTCGAAGGGAAAGAAACCAAACGAACTCATTGTCCCCTTCGTCTGGTAATAAATTCTGGCGATCGCCATCTTAATTGGAAAGATTGTAGATTAATTGACGTCCAGTCCCTCTTTGTTGCCAGTACCATTCATTACAGTACTATAATCCCAACTCCCTTTATAATAGTGCCACGTTTTTTTTAAATAACGAAATAGGGTTATTATTGCTTTAGTGTTATTACCATTGTATTGTATTGTATAGATTATTGCATCTCGGCTTTCTAGTCTTAACTGTTCTTACATCTTTGCGACACAAATTTTTGACAATGAAGACACTATGGCACATCTGTCCTTTAAGGGCTCCGTGGAGGAAGTGATATGAACCATTGGTTTATGACTGCAATGACCTGGGATTGCAGGTCCAGCATTGGGCACTTTTTTCTGAAGAAAAAATGATTTAATGTCACCCGAATCTTACAAAAGTCAAACTTAATAGTCAGTGCAAGTAACCAAATTTTGCTAGAGCATTCTTGTAAATGCAAAAGTTTAATTGTTTTCCACATGTGTGGATATGTAGTGCATTTGCAGTAAAAGCAATCGCTAACTACCCATCATGATTATCAAAATTGTATAACGTATAACTAAAGATAATAAACAATAACTCACATTTTAGGAAACAGTCCTTCTTCCAATATTCTAAGCGGCTCTCAGGGGAATATAACCTGAGTTTCACTTATTAATTCAATGTTGTTGTTGTCGTGTCCAATGAAGAGCCTCAGATGTCTTCATGCATTTCTATCACAGCAGTTGCAATGTCCTCTATCTTGGGTGTGTAAAGCTTCTGTTCTGGGTCCATGTCAAATTTCTGTTGTTGTCGTGTCCAATGAAGAGCCTCAGATGTCTCCATACATCGCTATCACAGCAGTTTCAATTCCCTCTATCTTGGGTGTGTAAAGCTGCTGTTCTGGGTCCATGTCAATTTTCTGTTGTTGTTGTCGTGACCAATGAAGAGCCTCAGATGTCTCCATGCATCTCTATCACAACAGTCGCAATGTCCTCTATCTTGGGTGTGTAAATCTGCTGCTCTGCTGGTCTCTGTCAATTTTCTGTTGTTGTCATGTCCAATGAAGAGCCTCAGATGTCTCCATACATCTCTATCACAGCAGTCGCAATGTCCTCTATCTTGGGTGTGTAAATCTGCTGCTCTGCTGGTCTCTGTCAATTTTCTGTTGTTGTCATGTCCAATGAAGAGCCTCAGATGTCTCCATACATCTCTATCACAGCAGTCGCAATGTCCTCTATCTTGGGTGTGTAAATCTGCTGCTCTGCTGGTCTCTGTCAATTTTCTGTTGTTGTCATGTCCAATGAAGAGCCTCAGATGTCTCCATGCGTCTCTATCACAGCAGTCGCAATGTCCTCTATCTTGGGTGTGTAAATCTGCTGCTCTGCTGGTCTCTGTCAATTTTCTGTTGTTGTCATGTCCAATGAAGAGCCTCAGATGTCTCCATGCATCTCTATCACAACAGTCGCAATGTCCTCTATCTTGGGTGTGTAAATCTGCTGCTCTGGTCTCTGTCAATTTTCTGTTGTTGTTTTGTCCAATGAAGAGCCTCAGATGTCTCCATACATCTCTATCGCAGCAGTCAAAATGTCCACTATCTTGGGTGTGTAAAGCTGCTGCTCTGGGTCCATGTCAATTTTCTACAAGGCTGCAGCCATTGCTGGGCATGAGAATAGGTAAATAGGTGTTAGTTTCCACACCAGGACAATTGTCACATGTCCTGTAGGTTTTTGTGTCATCGTATTATTTCAATATCGTATCCATATTGCCACTGCAGAGCCTGCCAGGAGGTTGTGAAATTTGGGAATAACTGATGGTCGACTTCAAATTCGACGATCTTGGATAGGGATTGTTTGAATGTTCTTGGTTAGAGTTCGATGCCATGAAATTCTGGCTTTGTCTTAAATGAGAATCAACTATATCAATAGGAATATTTCAATAGGAATTTGCTAGTTTCCCGAGGCAATCATTTTATGATTGTTATTGAGAAGAAAGGGCCCATTGTTGTAACTATAGAATTCTTACAATGTGGCTTCCAGTCGGGTTTGTTAAACCTGCTTACAATTTCTGCATCTTTTCTGGTATATCCCATCTATACATTGTCTGTCACGTTCCTGCTGTCACAAGTTATTTGTCACATTTAGAATGACAATTAAACAACTTTATTGACATCTCGTCAATCTTTACACTCAAAGGGAGTTGTAATAATAATGGTAGGAATGAAGAGAGATATTTACAATCGACGTAGCCCTCTCCGAGGGCACGTCCGGATCAGGAGCTTAAAGCCGCCTTGAATCTATACAGATCCCTGCCATTTGGGGAGTTCATGTTCGGAACATGTTTGATGATAATGTCGAAGAATTTAAAATGGCGATTTATAATCTACGTAAAACTTATAGTTAATTAATGGAAATGACCTTTTATTTAGATTCATTGATGTGTCTAAAGGCCTTCAATGCATTCTAGCGATTTGGTTATGTATATTTAATGACAACCGTCTCTCTGCACAAACTCGCATATTCGGTCAGCTTTGGCAAATTTAGAATGTCCACCAGTAGACCAGGATTTCGTGATAACGTCCACTCAGGCTGGACTTCGAAATCCACAAGGAATTCATGAAATATTCAGTATCTGCTAAATAAGGCAAAATGGCTAGGTATGGCTAGATTCATAAACCTTCCGGGACATGGCTTATCTTGTATTGATTACCAGCCACGTTTAAATTCTTTCATCCAGTAATTATTAGTCTTGAATGATGGGGCTGAGTCTCTATGAACTTCTTTCAACTCGGCTTTAATTTGGGAAGCTAACCAACGTTTAAAAAAAGAAATGTTTGATAACAACTCGAAATTCGTTTAGAATTCAATTGCTACGGAGCAACCTCGAAACATCAAACTTTTTCGAGGGGGATAAAAAAAAATCAGAACATCGCTGGACAAGGTATGTGGAGTTGAATGGCGACTAGGTTGAAAAATAAAAGCATCATTTTACAAAAACAAATTTTCTTTTTTTTTAACCTCATCGAACAGCACTCGTAAATGAAATTATATCTTTACCACCGACAATATATTCTATGATGACAGTCAATATGGAACGCTTCACGATTTTGCGTATCATCCTTAGCAGGGGCCTAGCTAATCTTCTCTGTATCCTTCATATTGTAGTAGTTGTACCGCCGAACTGGTATCACAGGGGCCATGCTAATCTTCTCTGTATCCTTCCTATTGTAGTAGTTGTACCGCCGAACAAGCGGTGGTCCATAGTCTTGCGCCAATTTGATGGAAGAGGTCACCATTCGTTTTATAGATCAATATTCTCCTGGCAAAATTCCCATCTAGATTATATTTTGTCTTGAGAGTGTAGTTGTAGTTGGCGTTAGCACTCTTGTGTGCTATCCCGATGTAGCCCCTATGTCCGTGGCGGGAGGGACCATCGAGGGAGGTGACCGCCGGCAACCTGACGCCTTGAGACAGCTCCCATTACAACGTCCCTTGTCGCTCATTTCTCACCGCCCGCCGCTAACTCAGTAACTTGAAGCCAGTCATTTGTTGACTGGTCACCCGAGAATTCCTTGTTATTCCATTCGTAACCTGTTACTTTTCTCTCTATTTGTATACGTTTGTTCGGCGGTACAACTACAACAATAGGAACGATACAGAGAAGATTAGCATGGCCCCTGTGATACCAGTTCGGCGGTACAACTA